TTGTTTTTTGAGATGGAGTTTTGCTCTTGTTGCCCACACTGGAGTGCAATGGCGCGATCTCCGCTCACAGCACCGGTTCAGGCGATTCTGCCTCGACTTCCCGAGTAGCTGGGATTACAGGCATGCGCCACCATGCCAGGCTAATTTTGTATTTTTAGTAGAGACAGGGTTTCTCCATGTTGGTCAGGCTGGTCTTGAACTCCCGACCTCTGGTGATCCACCTGCCTCAGCCTCCCAAAGTGCTGGGATTACAGGCGTGAGCCGCCGCACCCGGCAAGTTATAGTCTTTTAAGGCCAACTGGCTAGAAAGTTGGTTTGCACTATTCACAGTCCACTGAATGCTGAACACTAATTTCCTAAGAATTCCAGTCTTTTTTTTTTTTTTTTTTTTTTTGAGGCAGAGTCTCGCTCTGTTGCCCAGGCTGGAGTGCAGTGGCCAGATCTCAGCTCACTGCAAGCTCTGCTTCCCGGGTTTATGCCATTCTCCTGCCTCAGCCTCCCCAGTAGCTGGGACTACAGGCGCCCGCCACCTCGCCCGGCTAGTTTTTTGTATTTTTTTAGTAGAGATGGGGTTTCACCGTGTTAGCCAGGATGGTCTCGATCTCCTGACCTCGTGATCCGCCCGTCTCAGCCTCCCAAAGTGCTGGGATTACAGGCTTGAGCCACCGCACCCGGCCTAAGAACTCCAGTCTTATGAAGTATTATCACCATCAGAAGTAAGATGCAGCTACCTGGTCAAACTCACCCAACAGTCCAGGACTTGGCTTCCCTGTGTAAACGCTCCCCTGTGAAAAACACTCCCCAGGTCGGGTGCGGTGGACCACACCTGTAATCCCAGCACTTTGGGAGGCTGAGGCAGGTGCATCACATGAGGTCAGGAGTTCGAGACTAGCCTGGCCAACAAGGTGAAACCCCATCTCTACTAAAAATATAAAAAATTAGCTGGGTGTGGTGGCACGTGCCTATAGTCCCAGCTACTCAGGAGGCTGAGGCACGAGAATCACTTGGACCTGGGAGGTGGAGGTTGCAGTGAGCCAAAATTGGCACCACTGCACTCCAGCCTGGGTGACAGAGCAAGACTCTGTCTCAAAAAACCAAAACCAAAACCAAAAAGCCACTTTCCAACCAAACTTGGAAAACCATCGAATGCAGCTTCCTGCCTGCACTGAGTGGATAAATGAGCCAGGAGTTGAGATGTGAGCACCCTCCTACGGAGAGTTATCTCAGATTACTCTTGGCTTCCAGAAGTAACATTTAGCCATCACGGCAAATATACTTTTTTTTTTTTTTTTTTTTTTTTTGAGACAGTCTCACTCTGTCGCCCAGACTGGAGTACAGTGGCGCGATCTCCACTCACTGCAAGCTCCGCCCCCCGGGTTCACGCCATTCTCCTGCCTCAACGTCCCGTGTAGCTGGGACTACAGGCGCCCGCCACCGCGGCCGGCTAAATTTTTTGTATTTTTAGGAGAAACGGGGTTTCACAGTGTGAGCCAGGATGGTTTTGATCTCCTGACCTCGTGATCCGCCAGTCTCGGCCTCCCAAAGTGCTGGGATTACAGGCGTGAGCCACCGCGCCCGGCCGCAAATACACATTTTAAAGGGTTAATTAGCTGGCTGGACTGACTACACCACTGGATAATTCCTAAAAGGTGCGGAAGCCTTGTTAGTTGGATTCCTGGATTTTTGATCAGCTGAGGTGAGAAGTTGAGGGCTTTTTTACTCCTTTATTTTACTTTTTTAAGAGATGGTGTCTCACTATGTTGGCCAGGTTGGTCTTGAACTCTTAGGCCTCAAGCAATCCTCCTGCCTCATCAGCCTCCCAGAGTTCTAGGATTACAGGCATGAGCCACTGGGCTTGATCAACCTTTTTGCTTCTAAATGATGGATAATAGCATTTCTTTGACCCCCATTTTATATTATTGTATTTATTTTTCTCAAGACAGAATCTTGCTCTGTTGTCCAGGCTGGAGTGTAGTGGCGTGATCTTAGCTCGCTGCAACCTCTGCCTCCCAGGTTCAGGCGATTTGCCTGCCTCAGCCTCCCAAGTGCTGGGACTACAGGTGTGCGCTACCAGCTACCACACCCAGCTAGTCTTTGTAATTTTGTATTTTTTATTTATTATTATTATTATTATTTTGAGATGGAGTTTCGCTCTTGTTGCCCAGGCTGGAGTGCGATGGCGCGATCTCGGCTCACAGCAACCCCTGCCTCCCAGGTTCAAGCCATTCTCCTGCTTCAGCCTCCAGAGTAGCTGGGATTACAGGCATGCGCCACCACGACCGACTAATTTGTATTTTTAGTAGAGATGGGGGTTTCTCCATGTTGGTCAGGCTGGTCTCGAACTCCGGACCTCAGGTGATCCACCCGCCTCGGCCTCCCAAAGTGCTGGGATTACAGGTGTGAGCTACCGTGCCCGGCTGTAATTTTTTTATTTTATTCTTTTTTTGTTGTTGTTGTTGAGATGGAGTTTTGCTCTTGTCATTCAGGCTGGAGTGTAGTCGCGTGACTGGCTCACTGCAACCTCCACCTCCCGGGTTCAAGCAATTCTCCTGCCTCAGCCTCCCTAGTAGCTGGAATTACAGGCACCCACCACCACACCCAGCTAATTTTTTTTTTTTTTTGTATTTTTAGTAGAGACGGGGTTTCACCATGTTGGCCAGGCTGGTCTCGAACTCCTGACCTTGTGATCCACCTGCCTTGGCCTCCCAAAGTACTGGGATTACAGGCGTGAGCCACTGCGCCCGGCTAGCCTTTTTATTTTTTTAGTAGAGACAGGGTTTCATCATGTTGGCCAGGCTGGTCTTGAACTCCTGACCTTACGTGATCTGCTGTCCTCGGCCTCCCAAAGTGCTGGGATTACAGGCATGAGCCACCATGCCCAGCCAAGCCCCATGTTAAAGAACCTACTATGTGCCAGGTGCTTGTGTTAATGTCTAGACCTCAACAATTCTAATGTGTAAATGTCACATTTTGCCTCTGATTATTAAATCTGGGCATGTTTCACAGAGCCAGGTTGCCTTTGCTTATATGTCATTACCACTTGGTTGACTTCCCACAGCGGGACAACCCAGCATTGTCCATGGCTCAACCAATTTCACTTATTTTCCAGTCCATTGTGAGGGAAGTGATTAGTGCAAAGCACAACATGTGGCTTCCTTCAGTAAGAGCACCGGAGCCTGTCTGTTCCAAGTCACTGTCAGTACTTGATCCTTCATCACCTTTCCACCTCCTGGAGGACGCTCCTCCACAAAGTCCTGGCACAACCTCCCATAAACGCAAGACGCCAGGACGGGCTGAATGGCCTGCTGTAGACTAGGCAGTGACTAGCACACCTCCCTTGGGCTGAGATAATGGCGGCTCTTTCACCAGCTGTGTCTTTTCTCACATGTGGATGGATGGGTTTTTTAGGGTAAAGCCCTAAAAAGTGGCACGGGCTGAACTAGCAAGCTCAGTCTGATTAAGAGATGGGCCCAAGAGAGGTCTGGTTCATTCATCTGTAATTTGTAATTTACCATAATTTGGGGTGAGGATTTACTTTTTCCACAAGTATACGTGTTTTTTTGTTTGTTTGTTTGGTTTGGTTTGTTTTTTGAGACCGAGTTTCGCTCTTGTTGACCAGGCTGGAGTGCAACAGCATGATCTCAGCTCACCGCAACCTCTGCCTCCCGGGTTCAAGCGATTCTCCTGCCTCAGCCTCCTGAGTAGCTGGCATTACAGGCATGCGCCACCATGACCGACTAATTTTTTGTATTTTTAGTAGAGACAGGGTATCTCTGTGTTGTTCAGGCTGGTCTCGAACTCCCGACCACAGGTGATCCGCCCGCCTCAGCCTCCCAAAGTTTTGGGATTACAGGCGTGAGCCACCGCGCCCGGCAGACGTTCTTTCTTTTTTAAAGCTTTTTTCTTTTTGAGACGGAGTCTTGGAGTCTCACTCTGTCGCCCAGGCTGGAGTGCAGTGGCAGGATCCCGGCTCACTGCAACCTCCGCTTAGCGGGTACAAGCGATTCTCCTGCCTCAGCCTCCTGAGTAGCTGGGATTACAGGCGCCCGCCACCACGCCAGGCTAATTTTTCTATTTTTAGTAGAGACGGGGTTTCACCATGTTGGCCAGGCTGGTCTTGAACTCCTGACCTCGTGATTCGTCCGCCTCGGCCTCCCAAACTGCTGGGATTACAGGCGTGAGCCACTGCGCCTGGCCTAGTATACGTTCTTGTAGTGACTAATATCTCCTCTGGGCCACCCACTCCGAGGAGAAGGGCAATTTTGGATTAGCCCACATTACACTAACAACATGCGAGACAAAGAGACTTGAGGGGCTTGGTCGAGGAGGCCCTGCGCGTTAGAGGCGGGAGCTAGGTTGTGGAGGGGCTCAAAATTAGAGGCGGCGGCCGGCCAGCTCTAAGGGCTGAATCCGGCTGGGCGACCCGGCGACCTTCAGGGGGCGCTGTCCACCCCCCATCCCAATCCCCAACTGGCCGGCTCCTGCCGGCGTGCGGCGGGGAAGGCCAGAGGACTGGGCGCCGGCGATGAACCTCCCGCGCGTCCAACCCGGGGGTGCGGCGCGGTCACGCCCAGCGGGAACTGCGGACGCCGAAGCCCGGGTGCTGGACCCGGAATCCCGCGGAATTTTGGATCCGAGGGAGGCGCTGGAGCGCGGGACCTCGGGCGTGGGGTCCGGGGCGCTGGACCGGCGCGGACGGGAGGCGGCGCTGGACCGGCGCGGACGGGAGGCGGTGCTGGCCCCGGGGGCCAGCGGGTCTCGGGAGGGGGCGCCCGATCCCGCGTCTCCGGCGCCGCTTCCCGGGAAGTTTCAAGTTTGAAAGTCTTGGCGGAGGGGCTGCGGCTTCCGGGACCGGAGTGGCGGAGAGGAGGGCCCCAAGCGGCCGGAGCGGCGCCATGGAGGAGGGGGCGCCGCGGCAGGTGAACGGCGCGGGAGGGGCCCGCGGGGCTGGTGGGGTGCGGGGAAGCCTCGGTCATCGCCCCGGAGCCCCGAACCGAGGCCGCGTCCCCCAACCCGCCCCTCACCCGCGCCCCTTCCCTGCCCTTTCCCTGGCCCCGGCCCCGCGACGCCCTTGCAGAGCAGACCTGAGCTCCGGGTTGGGTTGTTCCTGGACCCTGCAGCGTCTCCAAATTAGCCCGCGGCTGAGCCGGAGCCTGTACCTCAACCAGCCAGTGAGCGAGGACGGCTGAGTCCGCAGTGTGTGCCACGAGGGTGGTCCCCAGAGTGTCCTTAAGTCGGTTCTCCCCGGTGGGGCTCCAAGGCCGACTGGAATTAGCCGGGAGAGAAGGGGGGACCACACGGGCCTGGGGGGATTAGAATGTGCGCGCTGCGCGGGGCGCAGTCTGTGCGCGCTTGGCAGTGGCGGGAGTCCCTCTCGCAGCGCACGAGGCTCGAGGGGAGCGTGGATGAGAGGGGAGCGGCTCCCCCGCCCCGGGGCGGGAACCTTTGGGTACGTATAATGGGTTCTAGAACTTGGAGGGGGCCGGGTTTCCTGCCAGAGCTGGCAGTAGGTGCTGGTGCGCGTGGGCCCGGAGGACCGAGGTCGTGTCTGTCTGCTACTGGGGAGGGAGAGGTGGTGTCCTGCCCCGGAGCCAGTGGTGGGGAGGGGGGCATTTGCGGACAGGAGTGGGTCCCCGCAAAGAGCAGAAAGGAGGTGGTGTGTGTGTCCATGTTGGAGTTCCAACCCGGGGCAGGCAGGACCATAGGGGTGTTTGGGGGTGCGTGTAGACTCCTTGAGTGCCCAAGCCAGTTGCTTAAGCCGCCTTCAGGGCTGGGGCTTGGTCTGCCCCTTCCCACCCCCTTCCTCTGGAGGTCCCTCCGCCTGTTCCAGACGTAGCTTGTACACATTTTCCAATTTCCTGCGGGGCTCCACCCTGCAGCGGCAGCGGCAGCTGGGTGACTCAGGACCCCGGTGGCCGGGCCCCCAGCTCCATGGGACCTTTGTTTGCTCCGGTCTTTGGCTCTGGCCCTGTGGCCTAGGGCGGTCAGAGGATTTCCTGAGCCTCGCCCTTGCCCTCTGACAGCTGGGCCAGCAGGCCCCCGCTGAGGTCTGGGGCGGGAGGAGGGGGGGTGGTCCCTGAGTCTGGGGTTGCGGCCCCTTCCACTGGGCTCAGGAGAAGATGGAACACACAGAGGTAAGATGGGGTCCCTGCAAGAACCCGTGTTGCGGGGCATCGTGGGTTACCCTGGCCTGAGGTCACCTTTGGCACCGGTTGGTTTGAAATGCTGGCGGCTGGAAAGGAGGTGTTCCTGTTCCTGGCTCCAACCTGGGTGAAGCCGTGAGAGAGCTTTCTACTTCCTCCCAGGAGCTGAGCAGTGGGTGGGCACCCGGAGATCTCCCCAGTCCCTCTCCGTGCCTCCACTTTGCTACCTGTGGCATTGGGACATTAGGGGAACAAGCCCTGGCTCCCAGACTCCTGGCTGCCTTCTCATATGGCTTTGTGTGAACTCCTACTCGGCGTTGAGCTTTTCTGGCTCCTGGACTCTACTTTGGATCCCAGACATAGAGCAGCCTGATTACCCAGGGCTGCCAGGGGCAGCTGGGGCCTGAGAGATGGTGGTCTCTCCTTCTCTGTGTCTTGACTGTGGGCAAGTTACTTCACCTCTCTGGGCCTCAGTTTCCTCACTAGAAAACAGAGGTAATAAATAGGCCATGCGTGGTGGCTCACACCTGTAATCCCAGCACTTTGGGAGGCTGAGGCGGGCAGATCACCTGAGGTTGGGAGTTCGAGACCAGCCTGACCAACATGGAGAAACCCCGTCTCTACTAAAAACACAAAATTAGCCAGGGGTGGTGGCGTGTGCATATAATCCCAGCTACTCACGAGGCTGAGGCAGGAGAATTGCTTGAACCCAGGAGGCAGAGGCTGTGGTGAACCGAGATGGTGCCACCGCACTCCATGCTGGGCAACAAGAACAAAACTCTGTCTCAAAAAACAAAAAAAGAAAAAGAAAAGAAAATGGGGGTAATGACTGCTGCTACCGGGTGGGGTTGCTGGGAGGAGTGATGTGGTAATCTATACAAAGCTCTTAGAATAGAACCTGGCACCCGTGTACCGTGTGAACTATCCCCCCTGCCCCACCCTTCTCTAACGGGCAGAGAACAGGAGCCTGGCCTAGATGAGTGGCCTCGGAGTTTCCATCTGGCTCAGGCCTGAGCTCTAAAGGGAGAGAGGCTTCCCAAACCCTGTGCTTGTCAGTCCTGGGTGCCGTCCCTTCCTCCGCCTCCATCTGCAGTGAGCAGAGGCTGCCGGTGGCCGTTGCACCCGGTGATTGCTTTCCACCCTCTGCTTTCCACCGGCCCTGCAGCCTGGGCCGACCCAGTGGCCCCCGGAGGATGAGAAAGAGGTGATCCGGCGGGCCATCCAGAAGGAGCTGAAGATCAAGGAGGGGGTGGAGAACCTGCGGCGCGTGGCCACAGACCGCCGCCACTTGGGCCATGTGCAGCAGCTGCTGCAGTCCTCCAACCGCCGCCTGGAGCAGCTGCATGGAGAGCTGAGGGAGCTGCATGCCCGAATCCTGCTGCCCGGCCCTGGGCCTGACCCGGCTGGTGAGTGAGGAGCCGAGACCCCACTGGACAGAAGGCTCCAGGCCGATCTGGCCCCTGGCCTTGGCCCTGGCCACTGTGGCGAGACCACCTCATTTCCTGCCCATAGATCAGTCGGGGAAGGAGGAGAGGCCACAGTGGGGGTATCGGCTCTGAGTGACGGACTTATGTGCTTGATACCCCCGTGCACAGAGCCTGTGGCCTCAGGACCCCGGCCGTGGGCAGAGCAGCTCAGGGCTCGGCACCTAGAGGCTCTCCGGAGGCAGCTGCATGTGGAGCTGAAGGTGAAGCAGGGGGCTGAGAACATGACCCACACGTGTGCCAGTGGCACCCCCAAGGTAAGGCCCCACAGTTTGATGGCAGGGGCACCCTGGCCCCTGGTCCGACAGGGAAATGCAGCTCAGCCATTGAGCCCATAAGGAGACACCATCCTAGCCTGCAGTCTGATGGGGAAAATATGGCCCCAAACCCCAGCTGGGTGAGGAAGGCATGGCTGTAGCCCCTAGTGTGACACAGAAGGCCTTGTCCTGGTCTAATGGGATCCTAGCTCAGCCCCAGTCCCAGCTCCCAGCATGATGTCAGGAACTGGGCCTCAGTATTTGTATGACAAGAAGGCTTGGCTGTGGTCCTGATATGATGAGGGAGGCAGGACCTTAGCCTTAATCTAATCGGGGAGGCTTAGCTTAGCCCCTGTCCTGATCTAGTGGGCGAGGTTTAGCTTAGCACCAGCCCTGATCTAATGGGCGAGGCTTACCCCCTGCCCTGATCTGATGGGGGAGGCTTAGCTTAGCCCCTGCCCTGATCTAATGGGGAAGAGTTAGCACCAGCCCTGATCTGATGGGGAAGAGTTAGCACCAGCCCTGATCTGATGGGAGAGGCATGACCCCAGCCCTGATACAAAAGGGGAAGCTCGACCCCAGCCCTTGTTGGTTTGATGAAAAAGGCTCCCCTGACCCACCAACTAGTCCAACAAAGGAGGTTTGATTCTAGTGTTTGGCCTACTGAGTGAGGTTTGACTTTAACCCTGTTCTGATGGGGGAGACCAGGCTTTCACTTTAACCCTGGTCTGATGGGGGAAGCTATGGCCCAGGCCTGCTCTGATGGACTTGTGCCACGGCTCCATAGGAGAGGAAGCTCCTGGCAGCTGCCCAGCAGATGCTGCGGGACAGCCAGCTGAAGGTGGCCCTGCTGCGGATGAAGATCAGCAGCCTGGAGGCCAGTGGGTCCCCGGAGCCAGGTGAGGCCTTGAAATACAGGGAGGGCGGAGCAGGGCAGAGCAGAGGCTTAGAGCTGCCCTCCTTCCCACAGGGCCTGAGCTGCTGGCGGAGGAGCTACAGCATCGACTGCACGTTGAGGCATCCGTGGCCGAGGGCGCCAAGAACGTGGTGAAACTGCTCAGTAGCCGGAGAACACAGGACCGCAAGGCGCTGGCCGAGGTCAGGTCCCAGCCATGGCCCTCTCCTAAGGCCGGCTTCTTCCCATACCACCCTCCGCAGGGGCGTGAAGGGAGGGTGGCTGTGTAGAAGCAGGACTTCTCTGTCGAGACTTCATGCGGAAGGTGACTCCGGGTGACCTGGGCTGCTGCCCCCTGCCATATAATCCACAAACCTGGCTCTACCTTGTCCCCTCTGCAGGCCCAGGCCCAGCTACAGGAGTCCTCCCAGAAACTGGACCTCCTGCGGCTGGCCTTGGAGCAGCTGCTGGAGCAGCTCCCTCCTGCCCACCCTTTGCGCAGCAGAGTGGCCCGAGAGCTGCGAACTGCAGTGCCTGGATACCCCCAGCCTTCAGGGACACCTGTGAAGCCCACCGCCCTGACAGGTAGCCAGAAGTTCCTCCCACTTCAGAGCTCTCTTTCTTTTTTGGGAGAGACCCGGAAGCACAAATCACTTTGGGGAAGAGTTCAAGAGTTTCAGTCCTGCCCCACCACCCACTAGCAGCGTGACCTTGGGAAACTGACATTCCTCTTCAAACCTCAGTTTATCCATCTGTAAAATGGGGATGATATAGCACCTACCTCACAGGGTTACTGTGTTGCACGTGATGTGCCTAGCAGAGTCAGCACTCAGTGTAGCTTGTATTTACATAAATAAGCAGAATAGTACTTAAAGCACTGGTGTTAGGAAGCTCTGGAAAGCTTGATACCCAGCACTGGGCAGCTTGGACTATTAGAAAGTTTTCTAGGCTGGGCACGGTGGCTTACACCAGTAATTCCAGCACTTTGGGAGGCCAAGGTGAGTGGATCATGAAGTCAGGAGTTCAAGACCGGCCTGGCCAAGATGGTGAAACACTGTCTCTACTAAAAATACAAAAATTAGCCAGGTGTGGTGGTGTGCTTCTGTAATCCTGGCTACTCGGGAGGCTGAGGCAGAGAATTGCTTGAACCCCAGAGGCGGAGGTTGCAGTGAGCTGAGATTGTGCCATTGCACTCCACCCTGGGCGACAGGGCATGCCCTGTTGTGAAGCTCCGCCTCCCAGGTTCACACCATTCTCCCGCCTCAGCCTCCTGTGTAGCTGGGACTATAGGTGCCCGCCACCACACCCGGCTAATTTTTTGTTTTTGTATTTTTAGTAGAGACGGGGTTTCACCATGTTAGCCAGGATGGTCTCCATTGCCTGACCTTGTGATCTGCCCGCCTCCGCCTCCCAAAGTGCTGGGACAGGCGTGAGCCACCATGTCCGGCCAAAAAAGTTAATTATCTTGTACTGAGATCTGTCTCCTTGTAGCAGCAGCCAAATTGTAATCAGCAAATAATCTGAGAGCATGGGCTTTGAAGCTGTATCCCACCGAGATACAGTGCGAGCTGGAAAGGCCAGTGCCTACCTGCACAGAGCACTGCTACAGGGCCGACTGACCCCATTCCGTTGTGAGCAGAGCTGAGAAGAGGAAACGCAGGCTCTGGATGGAGCCCTCTCACCTGGCCTTGGGGAATCGAGAAATGTTTTCTTTTCTTTTTTTTTTTTTTGAGATGGAGTCTCGCACTGTCGCCCAGACTGGAGTGCAGTGGTGTGATATCAGCTCACTGCAACCTCCGCCTCCTGGGTTCAAGCAATTCTCCTGCCTCAGCTTCCCAAGTAGCTGGGATTCCAGGCCCACGCCACCATGTCTGGCTAATTTTTGTTTTATTAGTAGAGACAGAGTTTCGCCATGTTGGCCAGGCTGGTCTCGAACTCCTGACCTCCTGTGATCCACCTGCCTTGGCCTCCCAAACTGCTGGGATTACAGGTGTGAGCCACCACGCCCAGCCCAAGGAGTGTTTTCTAGAGGAGGTGGTGTCTTGGCCTTGAAGGACTTACACAGGAGTACTTATGGCCAAGTAGACAAGTTCAGAAATGCAGAAGAAACAGCTTATTAAAAGGCCTAGAATTCAGCTACTCAAGGCCACCCCATATCCTGTCTCCTGGCTAAACACCCCAGTTACTTGAGTTGTCCTTTTTTTTTTTTTTTTTTTTTTTTTTTGGAGACAGAGTTTTGCTCTTATTGCCCAGGCTGGAGTGCAGTGGCACGACCTCGGCTCACCACAACCTCTGCCTCCTGGGTTCAAGCAATTCTCCTGCCTCAGCCTCTCAAATAGCTGGGATTACAGGCATGTGCCACCATGCCTGGCTAATTTTTATATTTTTAGTAGAGATGGGATTTCTCCATGTTGGTCAGTCTGGTCTCGAACTTCTGACCTCAGGTGATCCTCCACCCGCCTCAGCCTCCCAATGTGCTGGGATTATAGGCATGAGCCACCTCGCCCAGCCTCTTTTTTTTCTTTTTTTTTTTTTTGAGACAGTCTTACTTTGTCACCCAGGCTGTAGTGCAGTGGCATGAGTTCGGCTCACTGCAAGCTCTGCCTCCCGGGTTCACACCATTCTCCTGCCTCAGTCTCCCGAGTAGCTGGGACTACAGGCATCCGCCACTGCGCCCGACTAATTTTTTGTATTTTTAGTAGAAATGGAGTTTCACCGTGGTCTCGATCTCCTGACCTCGTGATTCACCCACCTCGACCTCCCAAAGTGCGGGGATTACAGGTGTGAGCCACCGCGCCCGGGCTTTTTTTTTTTTTTTTTTTTTTTTTAAGACAGAGTCTTGCTTTGTCGCCCAGGCTGGAGTGCAGTGGCGTGATGTTGACTCACTGCAACCTTCACCTCCTAGGTTCAAGCGATTCTCCTGTGTCAGCCTCCCGAGTAGCTGGCACTACAAGCGCCCGCCACCGTACCCAGCTAATTTTTTGTATTTTTAGTAGAGACGGGGTTTCACCACTGTGGTCTTGATCTCCTTTTTTTTTTTGAGAGGGAGTCTCACTCTGTCGCCCAGGCCGTAAGTAGTGCAGTGGTGCGATCTCGGCTCACTGCAAGCTCCGCCTCCCGGGTTCACGCCATTCTCCTGCCTCAGCCTCCCGAGTAGCTGGGACTACAGGCGCCCGCCACCATGCCCGGCTAATTTTTTTATGTTTTTAGTAGAGACGGGGTTTCACCGTGTTAGTCAGTATGGTCTCGATCTTCTGACCTCGTGATTCACCCGCCTCGACCTCCCAAAGTGCTGGGATTACAGGCGTGAGCCACCATGCCTGGCAGTCTTGATCTCCTGACTTCGTGATCTGCCCACCTCGGCCTCTCAAAGTGCTGGGATTACAGGTGTGAGCCACCATGCTGGGCCTTTTTTTTTTTTTTTTTTTTTTTTTGAGATAGAGTCTTGGCCGGGCGCGGTGGCTCAAGCCTGTAATCCCAGCACTTTGGGAGGCCGAGACGGGCGGATCACAAGGTCAGGAGATCGAGACCATCCTGGCTAACACGGTGAAACCCCATCTCTACTAAAAAATACAAAAAAAACTAGCTGGGCGAGGTGGCGGGCGCCTGTAGTCCCAGCTACTCGGGAGGCTGAGGCAGGAGAATGGCGTAAACCTGGGAGGCGGAGCTTGCAGTGAGCTGAGATCCAGCCACTGCACTCCAGCCTGGGCGACAGAGCCAGACTCCCTCTCATTAAAAAAAAAAAAAAAAAAAAGAGATAGAGTCTTGCTTTGTCGCCCAGGCTGGAGTGCAGTGGCATCTTGACTCACTGCAACCTCTTGTCTCCCAGGTTCAAGCAATTCTCCTGCCTCAGCCTCCCAAGTAGTTGGGATAACAGGCGCCCACCACCATGCCCGGCTAATTGTATTTTTAGTAGAGACGGGGTTTCACCGTGTTGGCCAGGCTGGTCTCGAACTCCCGACCTCAGGTGATCCGCCTGCCTCACCCTCTCAAAGTGCTGGGATTATAAGTGTGAGCCACCGCACCCGGCCTCAAGTTTTTGTTTTTGTTTTTGTTTTTTTTGAGACAGAGTCTTGCTCTGTCGCCCAGGCTGGAGTGTAATGGCACAATATCGGCTCACTGCAACCTCCGCCTCCTGGGTTCAAGCGATTTTCCTTCCTCAGCCTCCTAGGTAGTTGGGATTACAGGTGCCCAACACCAGGCCCGGCTGATTTTTGTATTTTTGGTTAGGACAGGGTTTTGCCATGTTGGTCACGCTGGTCTTGAACTCCTGATCCCAGGTGATCTGCCTGCCTCGGCCTCCCAAAGTGTTGGGATTACAGGTGTGAGCCACTGCGCCCGGCCGAGCTGTTCTTTCTAAGCTGATCTTTCTACCCTGGACCCCTGCCTTTGTTTACAAGTTCTCTCTGTCTGTAACCCCCAGGCCCAGACTCTCCCTAAATGATACTCTGGGCCTACTTCGTGTCCTCAAAAGCTGCTAGATCCCCACTGCTTTCTCTACCCTTTGAGAGACAAACCTCTAGTGACGTGACACATGAACTTACTTCATTGACAAAACACGTTTCATATCCATTGAGGGAGGTGGGGCAGAGCTGGGACTCACCTCCACTGTTCAGATGGGGAAACTGAGGCCCAGGTAGCAGGTGGGTCCGGACAGGAAGCCAGGCTTCCTGCTCCCTGTCCCAAGCTCTTGTCCTTGCCACAGTGCTCTCCAGGCCCCAGCTCTGGGCAGCATCTTGTCATGTGCTGTGTCTGTGCAGCCTGACTGAGGTCTGAGGTCTGAGCCTGTGTCCCTGCCCCTCCAGCATATGGACGGGAGAGCCAGTTGCTCTGCCCTGGAAAGAGGTGGCGGCCACAGAGAAGCGTGCAGTCTGGGACAAGCTGGCTCCTCCCCTGGGAGTGGCCAGGTTGGAGGCCACCCAGGGTGTCATCGGGGTCCAAGGGCACCCTTCGGGGACTCATGGTGCTTGGAAGCTGCAGGGCAGTCAGCAGGCTCCTGTCCAGGCACTCTAGGCTGCCACACTGAGTGAGGTTTCTCAGGTAGCTGCCCTGGCCTCAGGTGGGTAGGGTCTGGGTTCAGCCATCTCCTGGAGAGGGTGGCCTTCCTGGGGTCCCAGGACACCTTGGTGGTAGCAGGGGGAAGATGGCATCTGACAACACCCCCCGCCCACCCTTACCGCAGGGACACTGCAGGTCCGTCTCCTGGGCTGTGAACAGTTGCTGGCAGCCGTGCCTGGACGCTCCCCGGCGGCTGCACTGGCTGGCAGCCCCTCCGACGGCTGGCTTCGGACCAGGGCCAAGCAGCATCGTGGCCGAGGCGAGCTTGCCAGTGAGTAGGGAAGGAGCTTCGGGGAGGGCAGGAGAGCCCTGCTTCAGGCCTGTGCTGAGCCCCAGCTCTGGCCCTGCAGGCGAGGTGCTGGCTGTGCTGAAGGTGGACAACCGCGTTGTGGGGCAGACGGGCTGGGGGCAGGTGGCCAAACAGTCCTGGGACCAGACCTTTGTCATTCCACTGGAGCGAGTAAGGCTGCTTTTGTGTGGTCAGGGGTGACCTTGGGCTGTGGGGTGGAAGGCTGCCCAGGTCGGGGCTCGTTCTGCACCCCACCCTTCAGCCTGGCCTCCCCAATATAGGCCCGTGAGCTGGAGATTGGGGTGCATTGGCGGGACTGGCGGCAGCTATGTGGCGTGGCCTTCCTGAGACTTGAGGACTTCCTGGACAATGCCTGTCACCAGCTGTCCCTCAGCCTGGTACCACAGGGGCTGCTTTTTGCCCAGGTGCTCACCACCTCCTCCCTCTGACTTGGTGGGCCCCTGGGGGCGTCAGGGCCAGGAAGGCCTTCAAGACCGATGCACTGCATGTAGGTGCAGAGATTGAGGACCACAGAGGAGGTCTCCAACAATAAGGACTCCTAGCCGCTCTCTCAGGGCTGCATCTGGAGGCCTGGGTCCTTGTCCTGACTGCCCTGCCTCAGGTGTGAGCCTGGAAAAGTGCTGTCCTCCCTGGGCCTCTGTTTCTCCACTAGTCTCAGTGAGGACATTGAATCTGTTTCCCTGGGTCCTTCTGGCTCTTGCATCTGTTGACCCTGGGGGCTTGGGCTGTGATCCCAGGGGCAGAGGAGGTGCCACGGCAGCTGAGATGGGAGGCGACTGGTCCACAACCCTGCCCCTACCCCTGCAGGTGACCTTCTGCGATCCTGTCATTGAGAGGCGGCCCCGGCTGCAGAGGCAGGAACGCATCTTCTCTAAACGCAGAGGTGTGGAGGGAATGGGGGCTATGTGCGAGGGAGCACGGCTGGGGCCCCGGGACTAAGGTCCCCTTTTCTCCCAGGCCAGGACTTCCTGAGGGCTTCGCAGATGAACCTCAGCATGGCGGCCTGGGGGCGCCTCGTCATGAACCTGCTGCCCCCCTGCAGCTCCCCGAGCACGATCAGCCCCCCCAAAGGGTGCCCTCGGACCCCAACAACATCACGAGAGGCCTCTGACCCTGCCACTCCCAGGTGAGGAGCCCCGTCGCCCTAGACTGCACCCTCCTCTGTGGCAGCTGTGGGACTCCAAATGCAGGCGGTGTCTGTCTGTCTGTCCATATTGCTCAGCCCCCAACCTCTGTCCATCTCACTTCAGGTGGGTGTGTCCATCCTGCCAGCTGTTGCATCTGACTGTGCTGGGCACTGTGTCTACTTTCTCCCTACAGTAATTTCTTGCCCAAGAAGACCCCCTTGGGCGAAGAGATGACACCCCCACCCAAGCCCCCGCGCCTCTACCTCCCGCAGGAGCCAACATTCGAGGAGACTCCGGTGAGGGGCTGGAGGGACTACTGGCTCCTGGGACCGGCTGGGCTTGGCGGGCTCACCCAGCTGTGGGGTGGCAGGCCTAAAGGGAAAGAAAGAAGGAAGCCCAGCCCTGCCCTGAGCTCTTCTGTCCTCACAGCGCACCAAACGCCCCCACATGGAGCCTAGGACTCGACGTGGGCCATCTCCACCAGCCTCCCCCACCAGGTACCCACATCCTGCGCACCTTCATGTTTGAGACGTTCGTCTGCTTACTTGAACATTTGTGTATCCATCATACATTACTCCGTGGCTCCCTGGCACACGCGCTGGCTGGCTCTCGGGGTCTGATTTGCTAAACCCACATGATTGAGCTCCAGCTCTATGCCAGCTTCTAGGAGCCCTTCCTGCAGGGGTTTCTCGAGCCCATAGGTTGAGACAGCCCAGGACTGGGCATGGGAGGCTTGGAGTGGCTCTGGGTAGGGACCCAGCCCTTGCCGTAGGGGACTTCCTATACCCTCTCTTTCTTTGCAGGAAAGCCCCTCGGCTTCAGGACTTCCGCTGCTTAGCCGTGCTGGGCCGGGGACACTTTGGGAAGGTAGTGGGCTGAAGAGGGTGCTATGGGACAGGATTGGGGGCCTCATCACATGAGCCGGGAGGACCTGATCTGTGTGGGTGGTAAAGGCTCCCTGGTGCGGCCCACCTGGACCCAACCTGTCTCTGGCCCCAGGTCCTCCTGGTCCAGTTCAAGGGGACAGGGAAATACTACGCCATCAAAGCACTGAAGAAGCAGGAGGTGCTCAGCCGGGACGAGATAGACAGGTGTGTGAGGGCACTGCAGGGCACCCAGGATGGCTGGCCTGGGCTGTGGCATCCAGAGGGCAGCTGAAGTTTCCTGGGGCTTTGGAGAGGTGACCCCGTGGGGCCAGTCAACCCGCATTCTCTTTTGACACCTGCAGTTGTTAACTGTGTTTCTTTGGGCAGGTCCCTTCTTCTCTCTGTCAGTTTGCTCTACTGTAAAATGGGGGCATTGGTGACTGCGCACATTCAGAGCCCCTTGTGAGCCCCTGACATATAGAAACCATCACTCTATGGTCAGGCACGGGAGTTCATGCCTGTAATCCCAGCACTTTGGAAGGCCGAGGCAGGCAGATCACAAGGTCAGGAGATCGAGACCATCCTGGCTAACATGGTGAAACCCTGTCTCTACTAAAAATACAAGAAATTGGCTGGGCATGGTGGCGGGCACCTGTAGTCCCGGCTACTCAGGAAGCTGAGGCAGGAGAATGGCGTTAACCTGGGAGGCAGAGCTTGCCGTGAGCCAAGATCGCGCCACTGCACTGCAGGCTGGGAGACAGTGCGAGACTCCATCTCAAAAAAAAAAAAAAAAATGGGGGAGCTGGGCACAGTGGCTCATGCCTATAATCCCGGCACTTCAGGAGGCCAAGGTGGGAGGATTGCTTGAGCCCAGGAGTTCTAGGACAGCCTGGGCAACATGGCGAAACCCCCTCTCTACAAAAAATACAAAAATTAGCTGGGCATGATGGTGCACATGCAGCTACTTGTGAGGCTGTGGTGGGAGGATCACTTGAACCCCAGTGGCGGAGGTTGCAGTGAGCCGAGATCGTACCACATCACTCCAGCCTGGGCAACAAAGTGAGACCCTGTCTCAGAAAAAATAAAAAAAAGACTGGGTGCACTGGCTCACGCTTGTAATCCCAGCATTCTGGAAGGCCGAAGCAGGTGGATAACTTGAGGCCAAGAGTTCGAGACCAGCCTGGGCAACACGGCGAAACCCTGTGTCTACTAAAAATACAAAAATCAGCTGGATGTGGTGGCACACTCCTATAATCCCAGTTACTCGGGAGGCTGAGGCACGAAAATCACTTGAACCCAGGAGGCAGAGGTTGCAGTGAGCTGAGATCACACCACTGCAGTCCAGACCAGGTGACAGCAAGACTCTGTCTCAAAAACAAACAAAAAAACGAAAAGAAACCATCAGTCTACCAGTCTACACGCCTGGCACTTTGGCTGAGGGCCCAGTGAGCCAGGGGTGTTGTGCAAGGCACAGGGCACAGCCCAGGGGAAGTTTTCCTTCCCTCTAATACTCTTGCTCTCTCCTGCAGCCTGTACTGCGAGAAGCGGATCCTGGAGGCTGTGGGCCGCACAGGGCATCCCTTCCTGCTCTCCCTCCTTGCCTGCTTCCAGACCTCCAGCCATGCCTGCTTTGTGACTGAGTTTGTGCCTGGTGGCGACCTCATGATGCAGATCCACGAGGATGTCTTCCCAGAGCCCCAGGCCTGGTGGGTTCCATCCCTCCTGCCTGCCTCCCTGTTCCAGCAAACTTGACCTGGTTCCCTACACCCACTGTCTACATCCTGCTTTCCCCCAGGTGCCCAACAGCAGGGGAGCAGGAGTCAGAGTCTTTGGTTTATACCCTGGCACCAACTGACAGCATTTATGACCCTGGGCATCAGCTTATGAAGCTGTGCATTAGTTTTTTTTTTTTTTTTTTTTTTTGGAGATGGAGTTTCACTCTTGTTGCCCAGGCTGGAGTGCAACGGCACGATCTCGGCTCACTGCAACCTCTGCCTCCCTGGTTCAAGCGATTCTCCTGCCTCAGCCTCTCAAGTAGCTGGGATTACAGGCATTGGCCACCACACCTGTCTAATTTTGTATTTTTAGTAGAGATGGGGTTTCTCCATGTTGGTCAGGCTGGTCTGTAACTCCTGACCTCAGGTGATCTGCCCATCTCAGCCTCCCAAAGTGCTGCAATTACAGGCGTGAGCCACCACACCTGGCGAGTCTAAGATATTAATTTGAAAAATAGGCACGATTGGCCAGGCGCCTGTAATCCCAGCACTTTGGGAGGCCGAGGCGGGCGGATCACCTGAGGTCAGGAGTTCACGACCAGCCTGACCAACTTGGTAAAATCTTGTCTCCACTAAAAATACAAAAAATAGCTGGGCATGGTGGCACGCACCTGTAATCCCAACTACTCGAGAGGCTGAGGCCGGAGAATCACTTGAATCCAGGAGGCGGAGGTTGCAGTGAGCTGAGATCCCACCACTTTACTCCAGTCTGATGATGGCAAGACTCCGTCTAAAAAAAAAAAAAAAGGCCGGGTGCGGTGGCTCGCACCTGTAATCCCAGCACTTTGGGAGGTCGAGGCAGGTGGATCACGAGGTCAAGAGATCGAGACCATTCTGGACAACATGGTGAAGCCCCATCTCTACGAAAACTAAAAACAAACAAACAAAAAAAACAATAGCTGGGTGTGGTGGCACGTGCCTGTAATCCTAGCTACTGGTGAGCCGAGATTGTGCCACTGCACTCCAGCCTGGGTGACAGAGCGAGACTCCCTCTCAAAAAAAAAAATAAAAAATAGGCATGATGAGTATCAACTGCAGGGACCAACACTTGGTCCCTGGCACCATTTAAGGGCCCAGGAAGCTGGAAATCGAGGTGACCTTGGGACTGTTAGAGCACCCCCACTCTCAGCATGATGCTTGTCCCAGTCTCACTCATCTCTGACTGGCCGGGACATCCAGGATCCCCCAGCCATGGCCATCCTGGTGCCTCCCTGCCCTGCCTCCCTGATCTTGGGCCTGAGTTCTCCCATAACCACCCCTGCAGCTTCTACGTGGCTTGTGTTGTCCTGGGGCTGCAGTTCTTACATGAGAAGAAGATCATTTACAGGTGACTTTTGTCCCAGGGATGCCTGGGGGTGGGGGTGGGGTGGGTGAGGACACAGACGCTGCCTCTCTCCTGCCTGGGCTGCTCCAGGTGTGGTTGCTGTTTCCTGGGTCTGAGCCCCCCTCATTCCCTTTGATCTGCACCCTTGCCCTCAGGGACCTGAAGTTGGATAACCTTCTGCTGGATGCCCAGGGATTCCTGAAGATCGCAGACTTTGGACTCTGCAAGGAAGGTGGGGGCTGCCCATTGGGATTCATATCTCCAGCCTTGTTTACCCAGCCTGGCCAATAGGATGATGGGCACATGGCATCTCCCAGGAAATCTTACCCACGGATGCCCTGGTTCCGCTGCTCCAGACCTCATTCCAGGGGACAGCTGGGCACACTGGCCCTTTCTTCCCAGTCCTAGAGGCTCGTATAGAGCCCCAGCCTGCACCTGGCCTGAGGGAGAGTCTATAGTCAGGGCTGGGAGAGGAGACTGAATTCTGCCTTTTGTTTTTTTCTTTCTTTATTTTTTATCTTTTTTTTTTTTTTGAGACGGAGTCTTGCTGTACCGCCCAGGCTGGAGCGCAGTGGCGTAATCTTGGCTCACTGCAACCTCTACCTACTGGGTTCAAGCAATTCTGCCTCAGCCTCCCAAGTAGCTGGGACTACAGGCATGTACCATCACGCTCGGCTAATTTTTGTATTTTTTTTTAGTAGAGACGGGGTTTCACTGTGTTAGCCAGGATGGTCTCGATCTCCTGACCTCATGATCCGCCCACCTCGACCTCCCAAAGTGCTGAGATTACAGATGTGAGCCACTATGCCTGGCTTCTTCTTTTTTTTTTTTGAGACAGAGTCTTCCCCTGTTGGCCAGGCTGGAGTGCAATGGCATGATCTTGGCTCACTGCCACCTCTGCCTCCAGGGTTCAAGAGATTCTCCCGTCTCAGCTTCCCAAGTAGCTGCAATTATAGGCGCATGCCACCACGCCCCAGCTTATTTTTTGTATCTTTAGTAGAGATGGGGTTTTACCATGTTGGCCAGGCTGATCTCGAACTCCTGACCTCATGATCTGCCTGCGTTGGCCTCCCAAAGTGCTGGGATTACAGGTGTGAGCCACCGTGCCCGGCCGGGTTCTGCCTTCTGTGACCTTAGCCTGTGAGCTTGGCTCCGCATGCAGTCAAATGGTGTCATAACCGTTCCCACCTCCTTGGGTACAGGGCAGGGCTTGGCACAGGCTAAGCTCCCTGGCATCATAAGGCTTGGCTGTTGAGGTTATTATGAATAGGCCACACCAATCTGCTTTTGGCGTACCTGTTGATTTGTAGGGATCGGCTTCGGGGACCGGACTAGCACCTTCTGCGGCACCCCGGAGTTCCTGGCTCCCGAGGTGCTGACCCAGGAGGCGTACACACGGGCTGTGGACTGGTGGGGGCTGGGTGTGCTGCTCTATGAGATGCTGGTGGGTGAGGTGAGTGCTGGAGTGTGCTGTCTGGGCCTCTGGGTTGGAGTAGGGTGGCCCGTGCATCCTGCTGAGCCCCCATCTCCACAGTGCCCTTTCCCAGGGGACACGGAGGAAGAGGTGTTTGACTGTATCGTTAACATGGACGCTCCCTACCCCGGCTTTCTGTCGGTGCAAGGGCTTGAGCTCATTCAGAAGGTAAGCACTGCAGGGTCTGGGTCTGGGCTGGATGGCCGCTTAAGGCCCATGTGCCCTCTGCCATGGGACAGCAGACCCCCTGCCACCCATCCGTAGAGCGCTCTGGGCCAGCGTGCTTGGGGCCTGTGGATGATGGCAGTGCCTGGGGCTGAATGCCCTAAGTGAGCACCTGTCCTATTGCCCAGCTCCTCCAGAAGTGCCCGGAGAAGCGCCTCGGGGCGGGTGAGCAGGATGCCGAGGAGATCAAGGTCCAGCCGTTCTTCAGGGTGAGTGGCTGGGGTGGCGGCGGTGGTCCCCTGTGCCTGGCAGGGTAGGTGACACAGAGTGACTCATGGAGCTGCTGTTCCTGCCATCTCAGGCGCCTCTCCTTTTCCCCCAGACCACCAACTGGCAAGCCCTGCTCGCCCGCACCATCCAGCCCCCCTTCGTGCCCACCCTCTGTGGCCCTGCGGACCTGCGATACTTTGAGGGCGAGTTCACAGGGCTGCCGCCTGCCCTGACCCCACCTGCACCCCACAGCCTCCTCACTGCCCGCCAACAGGCCGCCTTCCGGGACTTCGACTTTGTGTCAGAGCGATTCCTGGAGCCCTGAGGGCATCTCCTGGCACCTCTGTCCCCTTCCCCCACAGACTGCTAGAGCCTCTGCTTGCCTACCTGTGTGCCCTGCCTGGAGGTCCAGGCCTTGCCGGGTACTTATGAGCCCTTGGGACTCGAGGTGGCAGCCATGGGGCCACTGATGTGGGCTTTGCTCAGTGTCACTGGGCAAAGTGTGTCCCCTCCCCCTCCAGCTCGCCCTCCTCTACCTCCCAGCGAGACCTGGCCCAGAAAGGGTGCCGCAGCAAGGAGTGATGTAGTTTGTCTTTTTAAGACTGGACTTGCTTTATAGACTATTAAATTTGTAAAAGTGTGCACTGGCAGTCGCCTGGGTGGGGCTGGGGTGGAGCCCAGGGTCTGCTTGGGCCTGAGCTGCCCACAGGTCCTTTTTTCCCTTTCTTCCTTGGAAGGCAGAACTGCCCACCGAGGCAGGGATCTGTCTGTCTTGAAGTTCAGTTCTGGGACCTGGGAGGAGTGGGCAGGAGTCAACCCTCCGAGGGCTGACCCTAGCTGGGGACAGGTCCCCTGGTTTTCAGGCACAAGATAGTAGCCCAGCCTCTAGCAACCCTAAACAGCTGGGCTGCTGCCCTCCTCCTCCTCCTCAGCCCAGAGGGTCTCCCAGGACCCCGAGGGCCATCCACAGAAGAAGTGGGCCAGGTTGCGGGTCAGGCCTCGGTCGAAGGGGTTGCCGGGGCGCTGGCGGAGATAGGCGATGCGGTGTGAGGAGATGAATTCCCAGGTGGTGGTGTTGCTGGCCACCAGGTAGAGGTGTGAGGCGAGGAGCAGGCTGGCCACCAACGAGAGGAGGGACAGCAGCAGGAAGGTGGCGAACAGGAGCCCACTGGATCGAAGCCACAGTCCCCAGGGCTGGAAGAACTGGAGGCCTGACCTGCAGGGCAGGGGACAGGGGCCTGGTGCTGGGGGAGGGCAGGGGAGCCCTTCCCTCCCTGTGCTGGATCCCTGGGAGTCCTGGCTCTGTCCAGCCCTGTGGGAGCATACATCCCACCCTCCCCCTATGCCCGGGCAGCAGCACCCACCATGCCAGGTACAGGCCCCAGAGAAGCACCACCAGCTGCAGTGCCAGGTAGACCACAAAGAGTGGGTGGTTGCGCTCCCCTACACAGTTCTCCATCCAGGGGCAGTGGTGGTCGTAGCGGCGGACGCAACGGCGGCACTCACGGCAGTGTCGAGCCCTCAGGGGCTGCTGTGGGCATGGAGGAGAGTGGAGGCTCAGTGCCAGCCCTGCTGTGAGCCCACCACTGAGGGGAGGAATCAGGGCCTGATGATGGAAGGCCTTCTTGGAGGAGGGGTGAGGCCCCGGCACTGGGGCAGGAGGAGGTCGAGGAGTCTCAGCTTTGGCCCAACCTCTCCCAGGTGAGTGTCCCTGCACCACTCACCAGCACCAGGCAGTATCTGCAGCGCCGAAGAGGGATGGCTGGAGGAACCATGGCTGTCTGCTCCTCTTTGAGCTCCTCCTGGAATGAGGGGTGGGGTGTAAGACAGGATCCCCTTGGGAGACAGGTGGCATTGGCGGGCAGCTCCCCTAGGGGCCGGCTTAGCTCTGGTTGTGGAGTTTAGGCCCCATCCCGTGCAGAATGGAGGTGTGGGGTACGGTGGAGCACCCTGGACTGAGGGTGGCTGTGTGATGTTTGCAAGTCTCTTCCTTCTCTGGGCCCCAGCAGTTTCCTCACTACTGTAGGATGGGGCTCTAGGGCTGGCAAGAGGATTCACTGAGCTGCCCCCACAAGAGCCTGCAGCACAGAGCCTGGCATGGAGACTGCTGGTGGCTGTTGAGTCCCTGTTGGTGAGAGTAGGGGCCCCTGGTTACCTGAGGCTGGGGCTGCGCATTCACGTAGCCGGGGTCCATGAGTGACACAGCGAGGTAGAGCAGCAGGGAGCCCAGCACCAGGAGCAGGAAGGTGAGGGGCAGGAGCAGCTCGCCCTGCTCCTCCCATTGCCGCAGCTCTGGAGAGGCCGGGAGAGCACAGTGAGGCTGGGCCGGGTAGAACAGGAGTGGGTGGGACTGGGTTGCAGTTGGAGGTGGGGAAGTGTGTTCCTGGCCTGGCAAAGACCTGGAGATGTTGGTTCCATGAGTGGTTGTGTGTGGCCAGCAGTTCATCTGAACTTTATCTGGAGGGTCAGAGGGAACCATGGAAGGTTATAAGGCCAGATCTGTTTTGGAAAACCTCATCGCTAGAGAAATGGATCAGGGGAAGCCTAGGGGCAGAGAATCTGGCCAGGAGGAAGAAGAGGGGAGCTGCAAAGGCCTGGCAGGAAGTGAGAGAGGAAGGAATGGACAGAAGGGGCTGCTGGGTGAAGGAAGCCAGACCTGACTGGATGTGGGACAGAAGGAGGAGGGGTCCAGCGTCTCTGGCTCTGCAATGGTGAGAGACTGGCCAGGTCTGAAATGCCTGAGAGAGAGATGGGAGGGGGGTGCAGCTGGCAGGCTCAGGTGCTGCAGAGGGGCATAAGAAAGGGTCCAGTGGCTTCAGCCCATGGAGGTGACAGGATTTTGGGGAGGTAGGGTGCAGGGCAAGGAATGAGGGGGCAGGAGACCACCAGACAGCGGAGTGTAGACAAATCCCGTGTCCCTTGTAAGGGGGAGCAGAGAAGAAAGGGTGGCTTTTGAGGGGGGTCGTTTTCTGATAGGGAGACCTGAGCAAGTTTTTAGGCTAAAGGGTGAAGGTGGTGGAGGAGGTCTGAGGTCTTGGGAGGAAAACCAGAAGGGGCCCCAGTCCAGAAACTGAGGCTGGACCACCATGGAAGGAGGGCTGGGGGCTGCTGTGGGTGACAGTGAGGGAGGCTGCCCGTGGCAGGTGAGGTGCTGGGTAGGGGGCTACTGAGGGGAATGAGGGAAATGGAGGTGGGTAGGTAGGTGAATCTGTGGGAAGATGGGAGACAGGCCTCACCCCGTGGGGTGTTCTCTTGCCTGAGGGGTTGCCTGGACTTGGGCAGCTAGTGGCCATGGGGGTGTGGAGGGTGTGGGTGTGGACACAATGCCAATCCTTGCATCTAGTTGAGCCTCCTAATCGTAAGGATGGGAAGATTTGGGGTCAGTTCCTGGGAAGGAACTGGTGGGTCCCAGGATCAGGGGACATGGGGCTCAAGTCGGTCTTTGGATCTGGTGGGCACCGGCTGGGTCCTGGGATGGACAGGGCATTTGGCAATGATCAGGAAGATGCTGGGATTAATCAGGAATCAACGGGGTATCAGGCGGAGAGCGGGTGGCTATTGGAATGATAGATGGGGAGGGGGCTTCAGGAGCTGGCAGAGATCGGGCCAATCCCAGGATCTCCAGGGATTAGGCGGGAGACCCAGTGAGACCCGAAAGTCCGGGGAACCACGCGGGATCGGGTGGGTCCGGGGTCGCTCGGGGTCCGGCTCACCGGTATCGTGCAGGAAGAGCACCAGCGTGATCCCCCAGGTCAGCACGGTGTGCCCGGTCCGCACCAGGACCCCAGGGCTGAGGAGCGCCCAGGGGGCCATCGCCTCGGCCCGGGGCCCCACCCGGAAGAAGCGCCCAGAAGGGCGGGCCCTCCGAGGGAGGGGAACGCGGTCACCCGGGGATTGGTGGATCTGGGCGCTGGGCAGGGCCGGACTGGATCAGGGAGTCTGCCTATTGGATGGCAGCTGCGGCCGAGTGGCCCCTCAAGCCAACAGGTGCCTGAAGAGGCTGAGGGCGGGGCCGGCGCGCGCGCAGCTGGTAACTCCCCCAACTCCAGCCCCACCCGCCAGGTAACTTTTGAAAGCCCAGGCGCGCGCGCGCACCTCCCCCGCGCTCCCCTGTGCCCGCCCTTGCAGCCTCGCGCATGCGCGTAGCTCCCTGGGCGCTTAAAAGATCCAGCGGTTTGCTTTGAGTCCGAGAGGCAAATTTGTGCCCATTTCGAAGATGTAATGACTAAGGTCTCCAGAGGGCCAGGGCTCGCCCAAGGTTGGTCTGTGGTGACAGCTTTACCTCCTTGCTATTTATTCTCAGATATTGCAAATGGAGGAGAGAAAAGTGGAGGTATGTGGTGCACATTCTGACTATGGGTGATCCAACTTAGGCGGGAGTCAGAAATCCCAGCACTGCCCCTTCCTACCTGTGTGACCCTGGGCGAGTTACTGAGCCCCTCTGAGCTGTTTTCTGTCTCTATAAGGGGGATAACAATAGTGTCTTAAGGTGTTTGGGAGGACTAAATAATGGAAGCGCCTTGTCTAGCACGGGGCTGTCTTGCCTCTCCTGCTGTGAGCCACCACCTACAGGCGGACTTTCCCCGCCAGAGGCTTCAGGCCGTCTTCCTTCCCTATGTCCCCAGGGCCTTCCCCACTCAGCCCTGCCTTTCCACAGCACCTCCCACTGATACCAGCATCCTCCTCCGCCTCCATCTGATTGGCCCCATCCCAGCTCCTCCAGGGTACTCCTCTGACATCTGTTGTTTTTCTCAGCTCAACATCCTTTTTTTGATTGGGGAATTGACTTCCCATCCCATGTGATTGGAGGGACTGCCCCTCACCCCATAGGATGGCCAGCGGCAGGCTGTGGGCGTTCGACTCTGCAGAACCAATCACAGGCCTTCCATGAGATTACTGTCTAGATGCTGAGAGGAAGGGGCATTCTTTTGGATCTCAAGCCTAAGGAATGGGATATAAGGCAACCGAGAGCCATCTTTACGCTGTGCGGTGAGGGCCTACCCTGTCTGTGGCTGGAGAAAATGAGACCAACTTATAAAGACACATAGAGACGGATAAGCAGCACTAAAGGAGGGAGCGAGAGATGGTCAGAACAATATTGTCTGAGCCCTCCAGATTCAGCTGTCCCTGAAGCTGATACTAACTGCATCCCCTGGTTGCAAGTCAATTAATTCCCACCTTTTTTTTTTTTTTTTTTTTTTTCCCAGACAGAGCCTCACTCTGTTGCCTAGGCTGGAGTGCAGTGGCACGATCTGGGCTCACTGCAAACTCCGCCTCCCAGGTTCAAGCGATTCTCCTGCCTCAGCCTCCCAAGTAGCTGGGACTACAGGCGCCCGCCACCACGCCCGGCTAATTTTCTGTATTTTTAGTAGAGACGGGGTTTCACCGAGTTAGCCAGGATGGTCTCGATCTCCTGACCTCGTGATCCACCCACCTTGGCCTCCCAAAGTGCTGGGATTACAGGCGTGAGCCACCGCACCCGGCCTGTTTTCTGCTTTCTTGAGATGGGGTCTCACTATGTTGCCCAGGATGGCCTCAAACTCCTGAGCTGAGGCAATCTTCCCCCTCAGCCTCCAGAGTAGTTGGGACTGCAGGCGTGCACGACCATGTCTGGCTTAAAGGGAGAATGAGGGAGTGGAGGG